TTTTGTTCTGATCAGAAATATGCCATTGAGAATAAACTCCCATTACTCCCATCTCCTGTATTTTAGTTTGCATGACACAACAGCTTCAGAGTGTACAAAGTGGTTTCCTTTATGATGAAATTAAACTAGCAGATGATCTCTGGGAGCACTGCTGATGCAACCAACCACTAATGGGAATGCATATCGGGTAGATGCCAGGTCCTCAATACCAACTGATTTGTTCCTACTGCACCACATTGCCTGCTAATGCAGACATCGATTGAAGCACGCCTTGCAACTGTAACGGAGAACAAGTTTCTTAACAAAAATTAAATTACTGACTGTTTAGAGATATATCCAGTCTCAGAATTTGGACCCAACTTCTGATGTTCCAAAGCTCAGAGGTGTTTGATCAAGAATTTTGGTTCAAATTTCTATAAACCATATAAAAGAGAACAACTGTGCACTTGGGTGTAGGTCTGACTGGCATGTGAAACACATGCACTTGATTTAGACTCTATGTTAGGGGGCCTTTTCCACAAGTTCAAGACTATTATTTACCAAGGGGGTTTATACATTCATAAAATAAAATGATGGGAAAGAAAACGAGTTTGTTGGCATACATCCAGAAAATTTTATCTCTAAAGATTATTCATGTATTTCTTAATACGTGAAGTTTTAAAATAAAATGCATACAAGTCTTCAATATACTCAGTACCACCAACTAAAATCTTTGTCTCCACAGCATATACTTGGCAAGTAATATTATCTACACAATGTCCAAGTTCACAAAGGATTTTGTTTCTATTTATGGTAAAGCACACATTTGTTTTAGCATACTGAGTGAGTGGTTTTAGTTCCACTCAGTCTACCTAATCCTCCTTCTCCCCACATCAGGGCATAATCCAAAAACCAGTAAAGCTTTTAGGAGAGTCTTGAAAGGTTGTTTATTATATTACTCTGAAAAACCCAAAACAAAACAAAGCCCCATGCTCTCTGGCACAGGCTTGGACAGTTGTCCAAAATAAAATTTTAAAGAAACACTGTTTCATACAGTTCACATGCTGACAAAATGACAGCTGTGTTGGAGTGACAAATCCAGAAACGTCAGAACTCTAGAGAACTCTAGAGCAGCTACAGATTATTATTTATTACCAAGAAAACAAAATATTCAGCAAATGCCAATAAGATCCTGAGCAGAAAGAATCCCTTGCAAGCTTTCCACGGTCTTTTTTTCTTCCAGATGCTGTTCAAAGCCACATTTTTACAGATGTCTCATTCTCTGTATAATGATCTTTTTCTTAACCTTTTTAGTATATTCTTTATTTAAGAGGTTTTTAATTACCCTGCTAAACCAGTAGCCTATAAAAAGTTAAAATATTAATTAGACCAGATATACTAAAGAGATATGACTGGAACAGTATGTTCTGTGGGGAAAAAAAAAAAAAAAAAACAGAAAAAACAAAACCAAAACCCATGCAGCCAAATTGTCTCTAGCACACTCCGGCCAAAACAAAGTTTCCTTATTACCACAAAGAGCAACATTTGAGTGCACCCTCAGCAAGCCTGCTGATGACACCAAGCTGTGTGGTTTGGTTGATAACGCTGGAGGGAATGAATGCCTTCCGGAGCCACCTTGACATGCTTGTGAGGTGGGCCAATGCCAACCTTATGAAGTTCAACCAAGCCAAGTGCAAGGGCCTTCACCTGAATTGGGGCAATCCCAGGCACAGCTACAGGTTGAGTAAAGTAGTGATTCAGAGCAGCCCTGCAGAGAAGGACTTGGGGGTGTTGATCAATGAGAAACTTAACATGAGCAGGCAGTGTGAGCTTGCAGCCCAGAAAGCCAACCGTATCCTGGGCTGCATCAAAAGGAGTGGGACCAGCAGGTCGAAGGAGGTGATCCTGCCCCTCTACTCTGCTCTCGTGAGACCCCACCTGCAGTATTATGTTCAGTTCTGGGCCCCCCAACACAAGAGGGATATGGAACTGTTGGAGCAAGTCTAGAGGAGGGCCACAAAAACACTCAGAGGGCTGGAGCACCACTCCTATGAAGGCACATTGAGAAAGATGGGCTTGTTCAGTCTCAGAAGAGAAGGCAGCGACCTTATACCAGTCTTCAAAACCAAAAGCAGGCTAATATAATACAAGAAATCTGGAAAGAGACATATTACAAGGGAATGTAATGATAGGACAAGGGGGAGTTACTTTAAGCTGGAAGACAGGAGATTTACTAATTAGGAATAGATTTATTATGAAGAAATTCTTTACTGTGAGGGTGCTAAGACACTAGAACAGGTCACCCATGGCTGTGGTGCTCCATCCCTGGCAGTGTTCAAGGCCAGGCTGGATGGGGCTTTAAGCAACTAGGTCTAGTGGAAGGTGTCCCTGCCTGTGGCAGGTTAAGGTCCCTTCCAATCCTAACCATTCTATGATTCCACGATTTTATGGAAAGCCTTTAGGGTTTCAGTAGCAACACCTTACACTCCTGCCACAAGGCACAGAAATTCAGTCAATTTGCATACAGAAAGTCATCTAAGTTTCCCAGCACCAGTTTTGCAGCCAGTGTTCTAATATTTTCCATGAATAGCATCCCTTTCTACCATCTTACTTTTATAAAATTCCCTCAATTTCATTTTACTTTCACTGCAACAATACCCCTGCCTTAGAAACCATAACTTTTACATAGAGCTCCTGCTCACTGCTCGAGATCTCTTGCATATCTTTGAGTAAGTCAATTCAGAACTATACGCAAGTAGAAGGTATGAGGTGAAAAGTATAATTGTTTCAAAGTGAGATTCTTCTGCTGTCTACTTTATCTCATTTTATTAAATAAAGCATATATTACAGGAACACTCAGAAGCAGAGATGGCTCAAGTGTATCAGCCACTAGGTAGAGAATAAGAAATAACTGGTAGCTCACAGCCTAAAATCCAGCCTAAGCAGACAAGGCAGTTACAGTATGGAAAGGAAAAGACACACTATGAAGGATAAATGGCATGATAATTTATAAACATTTTGTTGTTCTGCTTTTTTATTTCCCATAAGGTTGGTGGGCCAAGGCTAAAATAAAGAAGCTGTTGGAATTACAATGTGAGAGGAACAGGCACAGATAACCGTTCAGCACAAAGAAAGAACACAGAGAGAAAAATGTGCACAAATTAGTCATACACCAAGACACCAGCAAGATCTTTTAGCAGCTGATCCAGTTGCTGGCTACTTGTGACAATTTATCTCTTCCCTAAACATAAATGAATTAAAAAAATGGGAGATCAGGTAAGGATCCTGCACTATGTTAACAGAACTAGTTCTTTACCCTAGAGTTGAGTATAAATTAATTTATAACTACACAATCTCATGGATTTCAACAGATTCTTTGATCCTAACACAGGATTATAATTCTAAAAATGTTCACGCATTTCTTCTCTGACTCATACTTTAGGTATCCTCTTCCATTCTCACTATGACTTGTTATGACATTCTTCTCTATGAATACATATACCACACAGCCCTGTTAATTGCCTTTCCTACATACTTCCTATATACTGCTTATTAACAACTGACTTTCCTGAATCAAGAGCTATGCTCACGTTTGACAAGGGTATGAAAGTGTAGCATTTCAGAAATTATGCACTGAGCTTTAGTGCTCTCCTTCCTTACAGGTCCTCAGAAATGCTAATGAGGTGAGTCTCTTTATTAAGTGTCAAGTTCTAATGACCCTGTGACATAAAGGCTGTTCTTTGGAAGTGATACCTAAACACAGATGTAGCTTTTGATGACTGTTAGCAAAATATGTTATCAGCTATTGCCTTGCTCTAGGTAGAAGTAAGGATTGAGTAAAATATGTTTTACAGTGGTAGTATCTGGGCAAATAACAAGCTGTCAACTCAGTCACGGTTCTACTGTGGTATGTAAAGAAAAAGACAAAACCTTTGAGGCATTCAGACTGCAGTGTTGCACTGGATCTCACTGCAGTTTGCCAAAGGCTTTTCACAGCAATTAAATTTCCTAAAACAACATCTACACCTCCTCCCGAATACTGAAAGGGCTCAAACTCATATTCTCACCATAATAAAAAAGATAATAAAGTAATCTGAAAGTAAGGCAGTCTATTTTTTCCCAAAATTACAAGGTCAAACAAAAATGGTGTCTAACTTTATATCTTAAGTACCAATAACAGAGAACACTGGATACATAGTAAAAATTTAATTAGTAGAGTAGAAGAATGTAATAGTTGATCTTACAATAGAATCCTCTTTTGAATTTATATTTTAAGTAAGTTAAAGATCCAAACTGACATTTCCAAATATTTCATGAATTCTGCCTCTGTAATCACCCTGTCAGATCCCAATGCCTCACATACTTCTATACTTACTGCTATCTTGTTTTAATAAACATGTCTAGGTTGCACCTGTTCAAAGGTTCTTGGAACATGTGCACTCATAGCCTCACAATAATCAAGAGGCGACAGCTGTCCTTGCAGCTGATTCGAACATTTCTATCCTAATTAGGGACACAGACAAATTTTATTAGCTGTTCATATTTAGCCTGCATTTCCCTAATAAGATTTATGGGACTATAAAGACCTGAGCCATGCAGTGTCAAGACAGGTTGCATATGATACTACAAGTTATGAGAACAATGGACTGTTTCCAGATATGTCTCTTCTTTCTTACTAATAAAAAGTTAGTGAATACTGTTGCTCTTTCTTTAAAAGCCTTCTTTAAGGAAGAGATAATCAATGTCAAATACCTGTTAAGGAAAACACTAGTAATCCTTGACACTTCTTGCAACCTCATATCATAACAGTAATGCCTGCCAGTTTTCTGATTTTGTATTAGATGTTGTTAAGTGTTTTGTAAAATAAATCAGTATTTTTGCAATGTTTTTAAAGGTGGGGAATGTATTCAGCATCACTTTTTAAAAAGGTATTAGCTCTGATTTTACTCAAATTATTAGCCTCTTATCATACCTGCTTACTTAGCATCATCAAATCAGATCTTCAGGAAGAAACGATTTACCTTCATCTTCAGAGAACGTCTCTTCCATCTTAAAATGACCACCTGTTAAGAGGTTAAAGAAAGACTTATAAGATGAAACACCACATCACCAACTATTAGCAACCTCTTCCAAATGTTTCTTTTTCCTACTTTGCTCAACAACTCAAGACAAGGGCCAAGCAAGCACAGGGTTTTTCCCAGGCAAAATATATCACTTGCCCTTCCCCCAGAGAAGAATGTTTTAATCCAGTACAGATACACATTTTTCTAAGGATCAAAGAAGTTCAGATGTTCACAGCCAAATGACTGTAGCTGGAAGAGGCAAGAAGTTGCATACCAACTTCCTTTCTGCTCCTTTGAGATGACACCTAAAGACTTCTCCCATCCCCTTCTCTCTATCTGCTGTTGTCTAGTAAACCCACCAAGGGAGTAACTTCCTGACAAAATACTACTTTGTACATATATTAACCCAAAAAAGACACTTTGATCTTCCTCATTTATTGGAACTTGTTCTACACTTTATATACTCTTCCTGGGGCCTGCAATAGGTACTCTTTGTCAAAAAATAGATATCTACTTTCTCTATTCAAGGTCAGGTTTTACCTCCACATCCAATTAATCTACCCACAAAGCAGAGATAATTTTCCAGTGATGTGACCAAAAAATTACATACTTTCACCCCACAACTCTCTTTTTTCGCCCCATTGAAACCTTTACCATTAGGTACCACATTCACCTGTTGTAGCAATTCCCAGCTTAAAAGGGATTAAGTCAGCAGCCCTAAACTCTTACTGATAAACCTACTTTACGAAGCCCAGCAAATTCCAAAATATCATCTTTCAAATGAATTTTAGGCTTCTTCTGCCAGACTTTTCCCCCATTTTTCACTCTCTGATCACCATTAAAATTTGAGGCTGAATTATGGATTCTATCAGCTCTTCCAAGCTAGCTCAACAGCCCCAAAATTGCTAAAAATGCTTCAGAGAATTCTTCATATTTTAGATGTCATATAAACTTGATGCCTTTTAGAATTCGGGTTTTATTCCTCAAGAACTACATTATTCCTCAAATTTACTAATACAATCTCGTAACTAATTGTAACTACTTAAGTAACTGCAAACTGCTAAACAAATCCTGTATCTCAGAATCCTGACTACTCCTGTCCTCATTTTACTTGTCAGTGCTTCCTGAATTTCATCCATTCATTGCTGTTTCTGGAAATTTTCAGGCACACTAAATTTTTAGCTGTTCTATTTTATCTATTCCTGTCCTTACTTTTCAGTTTCTTTTCCTCCACATCTCTTGTAATTTTGGGTGCTTTTTGATAAGCCTGTTGTGCTGGAGCTCCTATTTAGATGAGTCCCTATCTTAACAAGAAGTAACTAAAATATTATGGAAAAGAGCTCATGAGAGAAGGAAGGACAGCTACATTTATCTCCACCAACTCCTAACACAGAACTAACTCAACTATCAAACCCCCTTCTTCCTTTGCAGCCAATTACCTCATGGCCCACCATTGTTTTCTTCATCTCCTGCAGCACTTCCCTGCTCACACTTGGTTTTGCCCTGGAAAATCTTCCCCATCATTGCATGAGAAATCCAAAAAGAACATTCTGATAGAATTTTTCAGTGTTTTTCTTGCAGGAGAAATAATACAGAGGACCTCTCAGTGGTTGATTTCTGGGCATGTGTTTATATAACACCAAGCACACAGTGGATTTTCTTTCTAAACAAAATAAGACACTGCTCTTCTTTCAGATAAACAGATACGTCAGAATTTGACAGCAATCATATTGCTTTCAGGCTAAGAATTCCACATGGCTTCAGGTCAAGACTTCCAAACCCATTCTCCATTTGTCTTAAATGTGGAACTGGAGGCTTCTCTCTATTTAGGAAGCTGCTTTATTTTCTGTTTCCAAACAGATGTGTTTGTTTAACTGCAAACACGAGCTGACAACTCCATAAGGCTTTTGCTGTTGTCTTTCCTGTTCTTACTGGCTTTTTTAGAAATCCACAATGCAGACGTATTAACAATAGTCTCTAGCACACACACACCCCAATGGTGCAAATGGGAAGCAGAACTCCAGGAGGAAACTTCCAAACCAGTGTTCTTCAGGGTAGATTTATAGTAAGTTTCATTATTTAGAAGCCTTCTTTGGTCTTTAAACTGCTAGCGTACCATGGGATTTACTTACTCCCTGACTGAGATTCACACGTGGACTCCTGGTAATACAACTTGAAGACTGTGTTTTTCAATTCCTACACATACCAGTGGCAGAACTCACTGGTCTTCTTGGTTCTTTCTTCACTGACAAAGAAGATGTAATATTCTGATAAACTGCCACGATTTGGAGGGTTTACGCCAGAACCAAGAAGGAGCTGAGCCTGACAAGTATTTTTACATTTATTCAAATGGTGAATTTTTCCTTGCATCACTTGTTCATTCTTCTTCCGCTTGCACTGCAGTGCAGCAAAGCCTCCTGCTACCATCCAGACCTTGTGTGGTATAATATGGTCTTTTAACACTTAAAAACGTTTTCTTAAGTTATCTTTGACAGAACAACCCAATTGGAAAAAAAGTCATACTTGATGTGCTAGCACGGCTGAAGGACCAGCTGAAATGCCTGATTAAAAAAAATCTTAAAAATTAACTGTTAAAAAGCCATTCCCAAACCTTTAAGGTCAAATTTCTCCATCAGTGACTCCCAGTAAGAGTCTGATTTTAGTTCACAGAAGGGTATTGAACATCTCTGGACACAATGCTGTCACTCATGTTAGAATAGGATCCAAAAAGGCCTCAAAAACTGTAAGCGAGGGACAGATTATACATCACTGTAAAATCATTATATTCAATATGTATTGCAAACATAATTCAAAACTTGTGTAATAAACACATAAACGTACTGGCTTTCGCAAATTATAGGCATGGTTATGTGGATATAACTGTACCAGTTTACAATAACAGAAACAAAGCTCACTAAACATACAAGATTAGACAACAAGGTAAAAAGGGCCAGAACTAAAAGAAAGGCGGGGGGGGGGGTTGGTATAAGAAAAGCTAGTGCCTGAAAAACATAAAGTACTTTTTAGCGTAACTTAGGTTGTAGAAAAAGAACATTTACGTTGTAAGTCTGTGGAATGCAGTGGCCACACTAAACATGAATTAATAGTTTCACACTATAGTATCTTCTAAAGTATCTTTAAAGAACAATGCTTGTGTTGTAAGATAACAGGATTTAGTGGCCCCACTAAACATGAATGAGTTATTTCACACCATCCTTCTACTTACCAGTTAGTTTAGAGACAGTGCCTCCCAAACATCTGCTAGCTTGGGATACTCCTTGTCTGCCCATTCTGCAATAAATTTTGCAGGAAGGTCACACTATTTTAAATCATTGCTAGTTATCAGAAGAATTACAGATATGGCTGGTTTCAGCTAGCTGTGCGATTACTGGGGCATCCAACTGTGCCAAAGGTGAAAAGTACACTGTGAGGAAGACTGCTTACTTCATCCTCAAGACCCCTGCCCACAATCACTGGAAAGCAGTGTGCAGACACCAACAGGAGGGGACTTACGATAATAAGTTCTGGGAGTTAGTTAGAATATTCCCCACCTCTATGTGGGAATTATGAATATGTATGTAACTAATGTAGTAGTGAAAGTATATAAACCTGTAACAAATGCTAATCACTTGTGCCTCTGGCTACAGTCACGCGCTCAGTGCTGTTGCTATAAATGTGGCTCAAGTAAATTGACGAGAGCCAGACCAATGAATCAAATTGGTTTATTGAGCAAGCGACAGCAAGCAAAACAGCGCTGGGTGGCCGGGGAGTCTCTGCTCCGCCAACGGCACGCAACCCACTTCCCCAAAGTCACCGGTTTTATACTCTTGTTCATCCAATATATGTGTCACTTCTTGGCGTACTCTGCGTCTGTGTGGCCTGTTGATAAGGGGTCTCATTCTGCCTCCTGGTGGGTGTGGGGAGGAAGGCTCCTTATCATCTTCCCCATACATCGTTTACTTTAAAGGATGCCTGCGGTATATAAGCAAAATGTCAAAGCATTGTAATTTTCCAGTAACTCTTAAGCAAGCAAGATTTGATTAACAAACGGGAATTTACTCATCACACTGTTGCTTTTGCTTTATTGACTTTGTCCCTCAAGAAAACCTTGTTATCTTGTTTAGAGGAATGAGCTCTTATTTCACACTTGGTTTTCCCCTTATGATGCCACAAAGATGAAGAAAAAAAAGTAAATTTCTGGGTTGGAAAACAAGCAGCTAAATATAAGGTTGAATTTGTTGATGTTGTGTAATACTGCCTGACTAATTCCAGCCACCAAACATTTCAGCTGTCCCCCAACAGGTGTAAAGCAGTTTCAGTTTGTACTTCTGCACAAACTATTTGGAGAGTGTGAAACCCTTGAGTATTACAGCTATGCCATTCTTAAGGACCAACAGTCATGATACCAACTTAACTCTTTTGTCCACATAACTGCAAACTTTCCTTCCAAAATGATGCGCAACTGTACCATCACTGATCTCTTTGCCAGCCTCTGGAACTAGAACCTCCTGATGCCATAAGCACACATTTAAACTTGTAGCATACCCAATGAGTGACAAACCCCAGGACTGAATATTCTAGAACTCGTTTCTTCAACATCTCCTCCTGCTGAACAAGTTAGCCGTATTTCAGATTTCACCCACTTTCTCTATTCAAATTTAAACAGAGTGTGGCAGAATATTCCTTTCAAACTGTAAATGACAAACCACGTACCACAGCTGTGGCTGCCCTATAGAACGAACACCCACACCCCACCCCAAGAGTGACAACGCAGAGCTGTGCGTAAGAGAAGGGCAAAATGACGCCAACCGCCCCCCTACCATAACAACGGAAGGTCGGACAGACAGGAGGCGGCCCTGGCCCCTCATGCACTCTCCCCTCAAGGCTGCCCGGGCTGCTTCTGGGCAGGCGCCCGGGCCCTCAGCGCCGGGGCAAAAGAGCCGGCCCGGGCACGAGAGCCGGCCCGGGGCACTCGCTCCCGGCCTTCCCCCGCCACCCTGAGGGCTCTGCGGGCAGCAGGGACAGCTCACGGCAGAGGAAGCCGCCGCGGTGTGAACGGGACCGCCTCCCGACCGTTAGGGCTAGAGGGGAACCGAGGTGCAGCGCCGCAGCCACAGAAGGGTCCCCGCGTCTCGCGGTGTCACAGCGATCAGCCCTCGGCCACACCGCGGCGCTGACCCCACCCCGGCTCGGAAGAAGGCCTGGGGCGGTGCCGGGCGGCCGCAGCGATCTCCTGCGGGTAACCGGCGTTGGTGCGCGGGAAGCTATTAAGAGAGCAGAGCCGGTGCTGGTATGAAGGGCTGTGCCGCTCTCCCCCGGTGTCAGTTCTGGCAGCCGGCCGGCGAGGCGCTGGCAGAAGTCGCCGGAGGTACACGCTTTGCCAGCTGCCAAAGACCAGCTCCGGCCTGGAGCCTGGGGTGCTTCCGCACAGACCTCCCAGGCACGGACCGTCCTGCGGGTGACCCTGGGCAGTGCCGGGAGCTGCTGCAGGGCTTCCACAGCAGCAGGAGCTCTCCATTGCATCCTTCCTCGGGCCCAGTAGCAAGGCTGAGTTCTAGTTTTCCCTTATCAGATCTGAAACAGCTCTTCCTGTGAACATCAGGCACTGCTAATTGTAGAAGTGTCATTTTTAGTTGCAGATGGTCACACAGAAGCTGAAGACCCAGCTGACCTACAAACAACGTTGGAAGTAAGCTGGTTTGATTCTGGTGGGAGACAGGAGCAGGAACAACTGGGGTAGTGTCTGAGCTAGCAGGATTTCCATAGGGGGTATTTATTTCAATAGATGGATGTGTCCAGTGCCAAAACACTGCTGTCAAAGTGGCCAGCACAAGGCTGCACCAGGGCAGCTCAGGCTCGCTACTGACAATGGCAGGTGCCTTACTTCAGGAGCTGCTCAGGTGAAGTGTTAGTTCTCAGTATTTACAGACTTATGTAATTTAATGCTAGTCTTTTTTACATTGCTCAGCAAATGCAAAGTGGTTAATACGAATAAGATCAGTATAGTTGCATAACTTACGTATACAATGTACAGTAGTACTGGTTAATATGAAGATCAGTATAGTTGCATAACTTACGTATACAATGTACAGTAGTACTTCTCTGCCTGCCCTTCTTCTTCCTGTTCTATATGTTTGAGAATTTTCTCCCAAAGCAGTACCAGTGGAAAGCCAGAAAAATTCTGCTGTATGCACAATATAACTTCTGTTAATGCAGAATACTGGGGTTTCCCTTTACTAATCCCAGAGAGAGTCCAGCTTTCTTACTCTGTGCAACCTGTACACCACAGTCTGTACACATTTGTGGAACTGCAGTAGGAATTCTGACAGGAGCACATTTGGCCTCACTGCAAAGATAATGATATCAGTAAAATCAGTAATGCCAGACGTGACAGTGCTTACTGTAACGCGAGCAACTCTGTGAGGTACTGTGTGAAATCCTTCCAGTAGTGCAAATAAGTTTTTAAAAGGCTACTGAATGGTGAAAGAAGCATTTGATGAACTCCCGTTGAGCCAGGCTGGCTGACAACAATCCTGGAACTGGAAAAGAAATACCATTTCCACATACAAAATATCCTAGCTTACCTCAATATTTAAAACAAAACAACAAAACCTCTACGTACCCATTTTCTGATACTTATTTTATACCTTTTAGATTCTTCAGCAACACCTGGCATCATCTCAGAGGTTTTCACAACAGACTTTAAACCCATCACCCCTTGTCCTCTCACTACAGTCCCCGATGAAGACTCCTGCATCCTTGTAGGCCCTCTTCAGATATTGGAAGGCTGCTATGAGGTCTCCATGCAGTTTTAAATAAGATCTTAGATGACTGTGTACATTAAATATACAGTTAACCATCTGTCCGTCTTAAAATAGCTGATAAGATAATCTCACTCCTCAGTTCTTGCTCGCTCTTAGACACTATTTTTTGGGAGGTTTTAAAAACTCTTTTAATACTTCAGAAAAACAGAAGAAAACCACAACTGAGCTAGGAAAAAAAAAAAAGGAAAGACTGAATCTTTCTCTCATTCCTATCCCTATAAACTCAAGGAAGCTCTGTTGTTGCCAAAAAAGTTAATTTCACATCCTGCCCCTGTCAGCAGAACCTGTTCTACTCTTGCAAACTGCCATGTTTCACAGAATGCTAAGCCACCTTTTTCAGGAGCATTTTCCTGCCATCATTTTATCTGGTTCTTTAGATAAAAGCTTAACATCCGATGCTGGAAAGACATTCAGCTTTACATTTTGTTGGTTATAAACAATTCCATATTCCTATGCGCCAGTTCCATTTGGTCTGTCCTTCCTAAGCGAGAGCTTCTTGAGTAGTAGGATATTGTTGGAAAATAGAGTATTTCTACAGTCAGGTTTTCTGTAAACAATCTCAATCTTTTTCAGGTACAGTCTAAAATCCACAGGATACGAAATAACAGTACACTTGAAATGAAAACTCCACCACATAGCTAAGATTCTGATGACTTCCACACCAAGTGATGCATGTAGGTGTAACAATTTTTCTCCACAAACAAGTTACTCTGTAGCTGGACTCTGGGTTTTGAGAATGCCATGGATCTTTCGAAAATAACCTGTGGATAGTCTGGGTTTAAACAAGAAAAGCAGTATCATCTTCCTGAGATTTTTCA